TGGATCTTGAATTCCATTATAATATTTGCCAAATGCAAAGAGAATAGTAGCTGTCCCTTGGAAACCTACGAAACCGATACTACCTCCTTGGTCACGCTTGACCGCCCCATCAAATCATACATGAATAATGGGAGAAATGCCAGAGGGCGGGGAGGGCACAACACGAGCTGCTGCAGCTGGGAGATGAGTAGTGCTACGATGAGACTAAGGCAGAGGTGCCTGAGTAGCCTCTCTCCACTCGTCCACTTGGCGTTGATATATACTGCCGAAATAATTCACGAGTTAGATACTGAATGTGATCGTGAACCGCCCAACAACGTCCCTTCCGAATTCTCCAAAGAATGAAAACAATGTTAGCAAGTTTGAGTTTGGAAAAGTTCATGGAGAAGAAAAGATGCGGCCAGGCCTCATCAGGAGCCATTCCACCAAGAATGGTACTCATGCCTTCAAGGTTAGCTATTCTCCAAAGACCTCGAGCTATCCTGCAAGTAAAGAAAAAGTGGGAAAAGGATTATGGTTCCCCAGAACAAATAGGAAAAAAAGTGTCAGTAACAAGCGTTTTAGTGAACAACACTATCTGTAGAGCCAAGAAACCACGACCAACCTGCCAAAGAAAGAACTTCAATTTGGGTGGCACAGGAATACTCCAAAGCAGCTTCAAAAATCTAGAGTCAAAAGGTAGCGCCGCCGGGGGTGAAGAAGGTTGTATTCAGACGACAGAAGATGATACCCGGAGTTAACGGCGTAGATACCAGAAGGAAAGTAATGCCAAATCAACCGATCCGAGGAGCAAACTAGAGGTAGTGGAATAGACAAGATGAGCTCAACACTTGCTTGAGAGAACAGAGAGGTTAATATATCCTTTTTCCAAGAATGAGAAACATGACAGATGAGGTCCGAGACAAGAGGGGGGCATGCGCTCAAACCTGGAAGTAATAGAGGGCAGGAAGGAGGAGAGAATATATGGAGGACAAATCCATTAGAATTCATAAATGTAGCATAAGTTTATAGTTTGTCGTTCTATTGTAGATTTTAAGTTCATATATATTTGAAATATTTAAAATTTACAGATATCAATTCTCTTTTATATTTTTAAGTTATAATTTTTCATTATATGTCAACAATCACATTTATCAAACATACACTTTTTTGAAATCTTTTTCCAACCATTCGAAAATTTAGAATCTTTGAATTGTCAGTCGTCAGACATACTCCACTTATCAACCCCCCCCCCACCCCCTCTTGTCATCGGGAAAGACAATCCACGCACGTCCATGCTACAAATGTATCTTCTATTCTTCTAGATTTATTACGTTTATATCCAAGTTTGGCGATAAACCTTCGAATTTGTCAATAAAAGAGCCAAACAAAAACATCTCGAAGACAACGACAAAGAAGATGAAGACATCGACTATGCAAATTCATAGGAGGTAATCTAGCATCTCGAGGAAGAAGAAACGAGATCTCCAGTTTTTTAATAAAACGTTTGACAAATATGGAAGAAAAAATTTGGAAAAGTACACATGTATCACATTCACCGTTTGACAAAGACGGTGAACATTTCACCGTTTTTTAATAAAACGATGACGTGTTCACCGTCTTTGACAAAAACGGTGAGCAACGAGGGAGCCATTCACCGTTTTGATCAAACGCGGTGAATGCTCCCCGTTTCAATCTGCCACGATGAATGCTCCGCGGATCGCTGACGTGGAAAAACGTGGTGCATTCACCGTGTAGGACAAACACGGTGAATACCCCCTGCAAAACCATCATCATAAGAATACTGGTGAGAATGAGTTTCACCCACCGCCTCGGTCTCAACATACACCTCTGCTTGCCGCATCTTGTTATCGCTTAGGAACTGTAACATCATCGTAACCGCGTCATCATCGTTTATGATGACTTCTTGGTACACAAGCCCGCTAGTACTCATGTCTGGATATCGGTAACTAATTTTACCAAGTCTCGTCTGTCTACTCGTACAAATCCTATCTGCACAAATATCACAGAGTTCTTGAAAATTGAATCGCGACTCAATTTTCAGCATAGTGGATACACCGTCCTCGTAATCAATCTCTATGTGAGAGTTTGTAACCCTTCCATTCCACCGAATAATAAGCTGAAACTTCTTGAATTTACCCATATCTACAATTTACAATAAGTAACTACTAGCTTAATTCAAGTAATTCATAACATCAGCCATATTTTCTACGATAAGTAATTCATAACATAACAATATAACTACTAAAAACAACCATTAGGCTACAATACAAAAATTAAATCATACCGAAAATTCATGTTCTGTGTATGTTGCTCGGTTTTGGTTGCTGAAATTTGAAGAGGAGAGGGATTACGTTTTTACAATTGCTGGTGAGAGTGGTATATAAAGGAAAATCGGCCAGCCTATACTGTTTTTGTCTCAAACGGTGAAAAACATCACCGCGCGCGTTTGTCTCAAACGGTGAAGATTAGGTGGTTGTGACCTAATTTTCACCTACCAGGGGTAGGAAACGTGGGAAACAATCACCTCCTTAACCTAGGGTGGTGAAGATGTTCCCCGCTTTGCCCTAAAACGGTGACGTGTTCATTGCTTTTATTTTACACGGTGATGTCTACACAATTTTTGTTAAACGCGGTGAACACTTCACCGCTTTAAACAAAGGCGGTGAACACGTCATCGTTTTATTCAAAAACGGTGAAATGTTCACCGTGTTTGTCAAACGCGGTGATTATATTCACTGCGTTTCTAAAAAACGGTGAATGTGAAACATGTGTACTTTTGAAAAAAATTTATAACTTATGTATTTCGAGAATTTTTTTTAAGAACTAGTGTAATTTGGAAAATTTTCCCCAATAATCACAGTCATAGAAGAAACTAGGTCTGGTGCAGAGAAACTGACGAAGCAGGAAAGCAGATTTTAATTATTATTATGTTTTTGTTGTTTTTTTTTTCATTTGCTCTAAATAAATCAAAATATTAGGATACAATATGTAGCATGAGGGATGTCAATGGGTCGGGTTGGGTCGGGTTTTGCCAAACTCATGGGTTTATCTGTGAAAAAAACACGGGGTAAAACCCAACCCGCTTTGTATTTGCGGGTTCATGGGTACCCACGGGTTTTTGTTGTAAGAAATTTACAATAACAAGTTTCTATCAAAATTAAAGTCAAATATCAATCTCTCAATACAAATTATCCATATATAAAACACCATTCTAGAAAATTCAAGCAAATTACAAATTAACTATACAAATTGTTCAACACCAATCTAGAAAACTCAAGAAAATTGAAGCAAATCGCAAATTATCCATAAATAACATGATTAATTGAAAGCCTCTTCCTCCTTGTCAATTAAGTTTCTTTACTTTCCACTCGATAACATCAACTTCATTCTACACAATTAAAAAGAAAAAATTAGACATGTCTCCACAAACATAAATAAGATTAGTTGTTTAGATATTAAATATACCGAAAAAATTAATTATATAGGTGTGGGCCGCCCACAGTGGACGGGTACCCATAGAGGGAGCTTACCTAAATCCAAATCCAACCCAATTAGGTGAATAGTGAACGGATTTAAACCCATACCCGATCCAAAACCCGTCAACATGAATTTTACCCGCATTGACCGGGTTGGATCGAGTGAGAACCCGTGGATTCTGGTTTTGTTGCTATCCCTTAGCACCATATATCCTGACCATTGGAGGATATCAGAATAAATATGTGTACATGTATATATGTGGTTTTTACCTGAAAAAAAAATAATTGTACGAATAAACTTGGGCTCTAAGCAAAGCTGGAATGTGACTACTAGACCCATTCAAATGGCTGTATGTTACCAAAGCCCAAATCAAACGCGGAATCCGAATGACGTACTTCACCTCTTTCTTTGATTTTTTCCTTTTCGTTCAATAGTGAAAAACTTAACTAGCCAGGAAGGAGGAATAACTTAATCTCACCACCCAGGGAACAGTTAGCAACTAATTATTTATTTACTCCTTAATTAATCAAATTCAATTCAAATGGCCCAATCAAATGTTGTCACTGGTCACTGATGTTGACCCTTAGGGAGCAGTAGGAGAGGCGTGCCACATTTTGAATCTCACCTTTATCCCTCGCAACATTAAACAATATGAACCAACGAACCATGATTAGACTCTCTTTTTTTTTTTTTCTTTGCCAAAGAACCAATCCCAACATCTTTATCTTAGGGTTGAAATCAAATAATATCTTTTATTAAATATACTTACAGAAGAGAAGAATGCAATACTACCTCCTTCACCTCAAGGTGACCGAGCCTGCTTTGCTAAAATTCACTAAAGTACATAAGCATAAGAATGACCACTAGTGGATAATTTGATCCAATTGTCATTACTCATATATATTGATTTTGTATATGTAGGATTCAAATAGGTTTGCCTAAAAATAAAATTACCCAAACATATATAACTTGGTCCATAATCAATTGGATTTGGGAATTGGGCAAAACCAAAGTTTGAGTCTTTTTGGTCATAGACAATTATATTGGATAGGAGAAACTCGCAAAGTTCAAATATTTTTATGCAAAAATAATTTCTGAGTTTTTGTTCTCACAAATCTTTATTTACTCCCCCTTCTCATAAATAAAAGTAATAATACTAATAACCAACCGTAATACCTAGGAACTTTTGTTACAAACCTTACTACTCAAGGCATCCTCAATGAGCCGTACGCATCTAGTTTCCATCGATGACTTGACCCTAAAAATATACAAACTGGCAGCTAGGCATATAATTCATTGCCAAATATCTTACAACCCCAGATTTCTCCACTTGAAAGCAAGACCTTAAACCTACTTCAAAAAAAGGCCACACTACATGACAACATGTTCAGTAAGCATACTCCCCCTCCCTCCCTTGGCCCACAATTTCCCTGTAATCATACTTTAATACATATCCTTCTTCTCTAGCAAGTTCAACTTTCTTTTTCCTCTATTGTGTCAACTTCCAGGCTCTATATAAAGCCATTAATCAATCTCCCCTAAAGCATCCCCCCACAATCTGCAGCCTCATATCTTTCTTCTCCAATAGTGAAAGAAGACAATCAATCTGCTCCCCAACCCAGAAGCATAACCTCAAAGATGGGGAGACCACAACTCCTTGTTACATTTCTAGCCCTTTTGGCACTTTTTGCCGTTTCATCAACCCAGGCCCAGCTCCAGATGAACTTCTACTCCAAGTCCTGCCCCAAAGCAGAACAGATCGTGCTCGATTACGTCACCAAGCACATCTCCAACGCCCCTTCCTTGGCCGCTCCTCTCCTCAGGATGCACTTCCACGACTGCTTCGTCAGGGTATACAACATTTTATTCCACCCTACATATGTTCATTTAATAGAGTGCTGAAAATCTTATGAAGTGTGTTCGTTTTTATTTTTTATTTTTCCCAGGGGTGCGATGCTTCTGTGATGATCAACTCCACGGCCAACAACACGGCGGAGAAAGCCGCCGCTCCCAACCTGACGCTCCGTGGGTTCAACTTCATCGACGGCCTCAAGACCCTGCTCGAGAAGGCGTGCCCCGGAGTCGTCTCCTGCGCCGATATCCTCGCTCTCGCCGCCAGAGACTCCGTCGTTCACATTGTAATATTCTTTTCGTATTTTATTTAAGATTATAAACGAGCTCGCGCGATTTATTACGAAAATGCGCGTGCTAATTAAGTACAATATATACGCCTCTCTCGTTCCTTGATGAACACAGGGCGGTCCAAACTGGCAAGTTCCCACGGGAAGAAGAGACGGCAGAATCTCCAACTCGACGGAGGCACTCAACGCCATCCCTCCGCCGACCAGCAACATCACCACGCTCCAGACCCTCTTCGGCAATGTCGGCCTCGACTCCAAGGACCTCGTCCTCCTCTCCGGTACGTGTACATACGTAATATTTCAATTTATTTAAGGAAAAATCCGAGTTATCGGGAAGAATTGATTTTTTTTCCCCGTTCTTCTGCTGCTGACTTCTTTGGTCGCTCGTGGCAGCGGCGCACACGATCGGGATATCGCACTGCAACTCGTTCTCGGCTCGGCTGTACAACTTCACGGGCCGGGGCAACGGGCAGGACCCGGCTTTGGACAGCGAGTACGCGACGAAGCTGAAGATGAAGTGCGTGAACACCACCGACAACGTGACGATCGTGGAGATGGACCCGGGCAGCTTCCGGACGTTCGACCTCAGCTACTTCCAGCTGCTGCAGAAGAGGCGGGGGCTGTTCCAATCCGACGCCGCTTTGAGGACCAGCTCCGCCACGCAGTCCTTCATCAACCAGTTCGGGTCGGGTTCGGTGCAGAGCTTCTTCTCCGAGTTCGCCAAGTCCATGGAGAAGATGGGCCGGATCAACGTCAAGACCGGGTCCGCTGGCGAGATCCGGAAGACCTGTGCGGTCATTAATTAATTAAAAATAAATTATTGGAAGATCGAAAAGTGTCTTTTTCTTGCTTGGATTCGTTTGTTGCAAACAGCGAGCAAATTTTTTTTCTTTCTCCGGTTGATTGATGTGTTGTGTCTTGTCTGGGTGCTGTGTACTTCTGAATAATTGAGCTCTTTTGTTTTCTTTTTTGTTTGTTTTTTTTTTTTCTATGTTTTGCATGTGTAATTGTTGAGGGGGAATCTTTGTAATAAGACCAATTATTTGACGGCTTTTATGTGAAGCGTTTTGTGTTTTTGCTGCTTTGCTGTCAATTGAAGCAACCACTCCTATGTGCAAAATCTTCCCTTCTTTCCACGTTTGATGCTTTCTTATGTTAAAACTACCAAACACATCGCTAAAATATAAAGGGTTTGGTAATTCACATGGAGTTTTAGGAAGATGACTTAAGGGGATTGGTTTGGATTCCTGATTTTAGGAATAGAATAGATGGATCGTCTAACATGTTTACATCACATAAAACTACATGTAATTTAATATATTCGTGTCACCCAATTCAGTTTATATGTACTTATCTAACCGAACAAAATTTGATTATTGGGCAAGTGTGGTAAAACGTAAAATCGTGGTTATTGTGATTGGTTGTGGATGTTCATAATTACTTGTTTTCAATAACTCGAGTTTCCGAGTGAAAGTTAACATGAGTTTTAGGAAGATGACTTAAGGGGATTGGTTTGGATTCCTGATTTTAGGAATAGAATAGATGGATCGTCTAACATGTTTACATCACATAAAACTACATGTAATTTAACATATTCGTGTCACCCAATTCAGTTTATATGTACTTATCTAACCGAACAAAATTTGATTATTGGGCAAGTGTGGTAAAACGTAAAATCGTGGTTATTGTGATTGGTTGTGGATGTTCATAATTACTTATTTTCAATAACTCGAGTTTCCGAGTGAAAGTTAACATGAATTTTTTTACACGTTCTTGCTAATAAAAGCCAAACTCACTTGTTGGAAGTTTGGACAAGTCCATCATACATTGTATTAAAGATCTGTGAAACTTAAACCAACTGAAATTGAACAAATAGTTCATTATTCATCCACCATCAACACTAAAAGTTAACCAATCTATCTCTCTACTCAAACTAATAGATAATCAACCGACCCCCATCCTCTTCCCTTCTAGTTTAATATCTCTATTTTTTCAATTAGTTTTAAATATTTAACATCCACCCTAAGAGAGGTTAGTTGAATTTTCAAAATTAGCTTAATCAAGATGAAGATGATGTTAAGTTACTTGGCTACTTCTTAACATTTTAATTATTCAATTACTTAATCCAACTTTATAACTGAACCTAACGGAATACTAGTAAAATTGATATGATTACATATTCTATGGGCGGATTTGAGTTACTTTAATGTGGTATATGAATCAATAGTCATGAGTCGGATGCTTAAAAGGGATCCAATCTTACCCAAGCAACCTAAGTATACCCTTCCTAATTCCTAACATGGATGTATATGTTCCAAAAGTCTCCTATGGAATGGGATAACAGATTGTTTATTATTATGAGTAATAATTCCCAACATTAATTGGAGAAATAGTGCAGAGTTGTAATATTTGTTATAAAAAAGAAGAAGATTATCTTCCTATCCGGTGAAAGATTGTGATTCTCAACCCTTGATCCAAAGTACACATGCAAATCAGGCTTAATTACTAATCATTATTCACCACTCTTCACGTTCAAATTTTTTTTATGTCAAGGGTCCAACGTACAAAGTGACCCTGCGGTGGGACCAAATTAAAGTGTCCCGTGGCGTGAAAATATCTAGGATTTTCAGATAAGGGTTCTGAGCCCAGTATAGGAAGAAAAGGAGCGCCACAAGTCAACAACTAACATATACTGTATGGCGGTTGGGTCCCTTGATTAAGGTGTCTCTAATACTTAACGTTGTTAAACCCCTATCAAACTCCCGGTTGGACCCAGTCCGACCCAAGTCGGATTTCAAAACGACCTCCAGAAAGCCCCCAGTCTGATCCCTAAAGAGGAAAAAGAAGAGAGGGGGAAGAGAGGAAGATGAACGAAGGAAGAGAAATGATGGGTGGATCATGGAGGTTAGATAGATTTATTTTGTTGAAAATAAGTTTTAAATAGATATATGTAAGATAAATTTTATTTCAGTCATTAAATCTTTAATTACTACCTTATTTGTATATATATTTAGAAAACGTCTAAAATGGCTCAAACCGGTCGAACCCCGATCAGACCATTAAACCTCAAACCCCTTACTTGACCGACTCAATGAGTTAAACCGGTTTGACAACCTTGCTAATACTTATTGTGTTGCGGAGTTTTTTGTGGTTAGAGATGTCTTTTGTGTCGTTGTTTTTTGAAAATTATAAGATGATCATGGAGGGATGAGGGTGACTCTAATTAAATTGGTCGTCCATTAACATAATTAGATTGTATGTGGTGGCAAATTCGTTAGATTGTTCTATTCGTCTGGACTCTGGAGTGTTGTGTTTTAGTCTCCTCTTTCTGGTTGCATAGATCTTATAGTGGTTCCACGAGCCGCAAATTAGACTGCTCATAAAGTGGTGTGTAATGTTACGTTGTTGTCTCCTTTACAATTAGCTTTCTTTGATTTTTTAAGGACCAGCAGCTCCGTTGGTGAGTTGTTTTGGACGATTCCTGAATTAAGCGTGTTTCATTTTGTTGTTGTTGATGTGACTTGAAGAACACTATCTGGTTACGGTTAGATGTCACGGGGGTTGTTGTTCTTGACTTCTTTCTTTTATCATATTGGATTAGGGTTAGAACACATAGTGAAGTACTATGAATACTTCTCATACTCATCTATAATATATATCTTCTCGAAGTGTAGTGAAACTGCCTCTTTTTTGCCCGTAGACTAGCTAACACACATTGTGTCGTGTTTGTTTTTTGTTTTTCATTTTCTTACTTTGTCAAATAATCCTCCAATTATCCAATTCGTAGAGAAATAGTCGTGACAATTGTAACTTGTAACTAACTATTCTCTCTTGCTATATTTTGAGGAGGGAAATGACAGACCAACTCATAAATTGATGATGTGAAGAGGGGAGATGATATTCAACGGCTTTCCTACTTTTAGGTGTTGAAAAAATTGAAACCCATTTACATATGATGTCTATGATCCAGTCTGTATGTACTAGAAGGTTAGTATCGTGCTACGTTTCGCCCTTGCATGTGCGGGCATGGCCCCGTCAGCAGTTAGCTTGAGGGACAATATTTCTTCCCACAATTATTACTATCCGTCTTTAATTTGATGTGAGACTCTTTGGTCGATTTTAATCCGTTTACTCCCCTCATTCTGTCCAAATCACTCATTTACACATTTATACCTCATCTTAGGAAAACTTAAGCCATTTTTTAGCGTTTGTATCATACCAAATATAGTAAAGAGAAGCCCAAATTTAGGTGCAGATGAAGTCGATCGAGATGATATCATCTCAAATGTGCATTGTGAGCCCTACATTGGGTTAAGTCAATCAAGCTAGGCATGTCAAATGGGTCTTAGGGTATGAGTTTTACCCAAACCCAATAGAATTTGGGTCAAATCAGGTTTTGGATTTTTCTGTTTTGGAGCAGACCCATACCCATCCAATTAAATTGGGTCCAAGATAGGCCCAAAAAATTAATAAATAAATAAAAAACAAATCTCTACAGAACCCAAACGGTTCTCTTCGACCTAATACGCTTAACTGAGAGCGATTGCTTTGCTTCTCCTTCTCCACCATCGTATCCCGAGTCCTCGACGCCGCCGCCGCCCGCCTGCCTCGCCGACTTCCGGACCCACCTCGCCGCCATCTCAATCGACCCTTCTTTCGTCCCTCTCTGCTTCAGCGACCCCAATCAGTTCGTCTCCAACGCTTCCAGCTGCGTCGGGTCATATCCACCGCCGATTGGATCCAGCGGGTCGGACCTCTCACCCCGCTCGATTCCGCTTGCAGGGGCGACGTCTCCGGCCTCACCCGCTGCAGCTCGTGTTTCAGCGCACGGCGGAGGCAGAGATCCGCATTTTGGGAGAAGCTATTAATGGAGAGGTGGAAGTTCGGATGGAGAATCGAATCGGAGCTGAAAATGAAGAGACAGCAGCAAATAGAGAGAAAGAGAGGTTCATGTTGGGATGATGAAGATTGAAGATGACGGTGGTGGAAGAAGAAAGCTCTGGCTGTGTGTGGGAGTGAGTTGGGAACTGAGTCAGACTGAGTCGGGGAAGCGGGGAATTAAAGGCGTCATCACGGGTTCCGAGTCCGAGTTACCGACTTTTCTTACTTACAGAGAGCGCGTTGTTTATTGATTGATTTCTTTTTTGTTTCCCCGCTTATTTTTCTCTCTGGGCAGAGGGGAATTTATTTCCTGTTCTTGGAATGTCAAAAAAGGCAGTGGTAAATATATATGATTTTTTTTTCAAATCTGGTCAGGGAGGATCGATTAGCATGTTTGGAATTTTCTATCCTTTTTCTAATTCCTGATTTAACGTTACCAAAATTTAACTTATACCCAAATGGATCCATTTGGGTCGGCCCAAATATACAGGCCCATTCTGGACCCAATCTAAACCCAACCCAACCCAAAAAAAGTAAAAAGAAATTTGGGTCCATTTGGGTCCAAACCTAATATCCATATGGGTCAAGGTATTTGGGTCAAAAAACCCAATAGGCCTACCCATTGACAAGCCTAAATCAAGCTAGTTCATCTCAATTTAACATCAAATATTAATCTAATTATAAAAGGGGGACGTGATTAAACTCATAGATTAGGCTAAGAGAGTTTGTATTTACATTGAGATGCCTAGGTAAAACTCAATTGGACAGTTTTGAGGATCCTGTTGGCTTGAGTTTTGCTTATATGAGAGCATACTCTCTTTTCGAGAATGTGAGGTATGGTATCAACTAGCTGATCACTCACTTTTTTTTTAAGTAAAACCAGTTTTTACTCCATCATCAAAAGAGAGAAAACAAGGAGTACAGTTTTTAGAGTAGATGGAAAATTAGATCTAGAATATTGTTTCATTTACATGGGAGAGAAGATCTGATTAGAATACGAGTAACCTAATCAACTACAAACTTTCTAGACACACTCTTGACCTTTGTTGTAAGGATTGAGGTCATTGATCATATTCAGGCAGCACACCTCCAAGGCCATCTCGATGAGTCGAGATATAGATTGAACTAATACTTGACATTATGATTGGACCATACATTTGATCGAGATATAGATTGAACTA